TTCAAAGGCTTTATAATCAGTTTTGTTTGATATTATTCATAATAAAACTGTGAAATAAATCAATATCAAACTTGCAAGAATCTAAGCTTCTCAGAGATACTATGTAATTAAGCTTTCATAGCCCTCCAAGGTAGAGTAGAGACTAGCCTGAAAAATGCTGGAAGTTCATAGTGGGGTCACTTCATAAATCGGCACAGAACTGACGGGACAATCCTGAGAACTACAGAAGGTAGCAATGACTGAACAGGTAAGTGTTAAACCTTCAGCGTAAAGTCCCCCTGAGGGCCTTGGGGAAGACAGGAGAGCCAGGAGGCCCAGAGGACTCAGCATATGGATTTGGATTGCAAGAAGAATCCCTAGAAAAAAATCCCAGACATGGTCTTCTTCACATTAACATGATTCTGCGCTCTTACCCCAATCTAATGTCCCACCAATTATGCTAATTTTTCATCTGCCATGTGTTTCGAATCCGACTCTTAGTATTTACTCTCCTAACCACTGTCCAAGTTAAGCCCTGGATCACTTCACCTACGGGTTACTCCACTTACCACTTACCACTGTTTTGGAATGTCCTGTGTGTTTGCTTCTAAACTACCTCCCTTTCGTATTTGGTTGCCTTCACTTTCCTTTTCAGTCCTTTTTCCTCCACAAACTGCCTTTAAGCCACTTGCTCCCGTGGGTTATTCTTCTGCAGGATGATACATTTTCACCTTCTTCTCTCCTCAGCCTTTGCTTTTCTGAGGTAATCCTATCAACCGCATCAGCTTCAGGCAGCACTGCTGCTCTCGGATCTTCCTAATGTTTCTCTCTCCAACTGATGTGTGTTTGGCGCTGACATGCTCCCCAATGCCTGTTAAGCCTATCCGAGAGACACTGCCTGGGCACCATAAACTTCACATGTCAAAACTGCTTCTTCAACTGTTCCTCATCCCGAATCTTGGGGGATAGAATCATATCCACTCAGGCAACCAGCCCCAAATAATGGAGTCATTCTAGAATGTTCTCTGCTTTATTTTCCACATTCAGTATAACTTTATTTCTTCAAAATATATGAGAAACTACTATGTAGCAGATATTAAGTCAGGTGCTAGACATACAGCAATAAGCAAGGAAGACGTCATGTTTATACTCATAGAATTGGCATCCTAATGGGATGTACAGAGGTAACGAGACTATTCATATGTGAAAGACATTCCCAGGAGTTTGGCAATATACAGCCTATGGAACTCTATATAGTGGCCCTACAAGTACAATTTCAAAAGAACAGAAGGAACAATATCTCTGCATTCTTTTCTTTCTGAATTGCCACAATAGCTCTTTAACCAGTTTTTATCTTTTCCCCCCCATGGTCCCTATCCTATTCATCCACTATAGTATTGCCAGAAAATTCTAAAATTCCAAGCTGACCACAACCTTACCATGCTAAACTCTACTGTTGAATACAATGCAGAGTCCTCAAACTGGCCCACAAAGCCCCATCCCTCCATACATACTCTCTGCTGTGGCCACGCTAAATCCCCTAGACATCTCCACGCCAAGCAGAAGTCTCTACAAAGTCTTCCCTAGGAATCACCGTAGTCCAGTGATGGTGAACCTATGACACGCGTGTCAGAGGTGACATGCGAACTCATTTTTTTGGTTGATTTTTCTTTGTTAAATGGCATTTAAATATATAAAATAAATATCAAAAATATAAGTCTTTGTTTTACTATGGTTGCAAATATCAAGAAATTTCTATATGTGACACGGCACCAGAGTTAAGTTAGGGTTTTTCAAAATGCTGACACGCCGAGCTCAAAAGGTTCGCCATCACTGCTGTAGTCCGATGGGTGCACCACATCTGTTCTCTCTTTCCCCTGCCATATGTCCATCATTTTACTTATGGAATTAGATTAAAATCACAAGTTTGCCTCTTTCCTGCTGGGCTCTGAGTTTTTGAGGGACAGGGACCCTGCTTTGTTCATGTCTATGTTTTCGCTCCCCACAACAGTGCCTTGCATGCAGGAATCCCTGGCATTAAGTCACACCTAGTTCTGAACGGACAATGCTTCCCAACCCTATAAAATCGACGCACTTCCCTGCCTGCATTCCAGGCCCTTCACAGTGAAAATAGGAGACCCCTTTTGAAAAAAAAAAAAAAAAGGTCATCTTACATTTCCTTCAAAGTTTGAGACTCACTTCCTCTAGGGCCTCAGCCCCTTTAGTTCCTCAATAGAAATAGCATTTCCTTACTTTGAACTCTCAGTATTTTAACATAGCAATCTGTATTTGTCTCTACTTTCATTAAGAAACTTCTCTATGTATATGTACCTTCTTTACCAAACTACTTATCTAAGAGCCTCATGAATAAAGTCTGCCTCTTACAGTTGTCCCTGCTGACTGCTTCATTGGTGCAAGGGCGACAGGAATTTAATTTGTCCCCTTTGGAGGAATGACTAGAGTCCCTCTGGATTCTGCTCCCAGTGTGCTACCAAGCAAGGTCTCACAGTTCAACTATTTTCACTCTTCATCTTATCTGATACCTCACCATTGTCCACCAGAGCTGACCACGCCCTCATTCTTGAAAGTGGAAGTCACTGAGCTTCCATACACTATACCCTTCAGATTTTTCTCCTGCCTCTCTGGCCCCTCCCCAGTCAGCTGTGGGAGAAGTTTTTCCTTTACCAAACCACTCAACTTTCAGTTCCTGGAGGGTACCTCCTCCCCAGGTCCCTTTCTCATTCCTCACAAGCAGCCCAAACAATCTGTGCTTGTGTATAGCTCCATTTTCGTGGAGAGCAAAAGTAACTTCATTCTGTCCAATGAGTGCGCGAATGTGTTTCAATGAGCACAGTTCGCATGGTAATCGCAAACGGGGATGAAGAAGAGAGCAAACCACGGGGTGATACTTTTTAACCAACAGATTCGTGGTGTACAGAGGACAGGTCATGATTATTTAAGTTCTATGGAGACAGGACTATGTGGCTGGCAGGGAAACTTCAGGGTTATTTTGTTCTGTAAAATGTCACACACAGACGCAGACCCCATTAGTGAATATAAAGTCATTCCTGCTTGTGCGACTGGTCTTTAAACCCCTGAGGAGGGTCCTTGTGCATTTACCACAGCAAAAGGCACAGCAGCCTCCCTGAGGCGGAAGTGCTAAAGTGTCTGATGATGTCTGGTGACTTCCTTAAAAGAGGATAAAACAACACATCCTCAGGCAAGAAGGCAGATTAAATAGAGCCATTTAAGAAAGCATCGTGCCTCAGCAAAATCAGGAATTAATCCAGATGAAGACATTTTGCTTTTAGGGGATCTATGTCCTAGTAAAAAGGCATGTTCTACAGCTCTACCTTAGAGTGGGGTCGGGGGAATGAGGTCAAAGTGTATACTCCATAAACGTCCTCGTGTTTTTAAAAGTATACCTTAAAAATTATAGAACCAAGTCACCAGCATGTGCTATTTCAAACTGTAGTAATATAAGCTTAATTAAAAAAATAAATAGATCAGGAACATTGTAACTTATTCTAATATAAAGAATCTAGTTGTGAAATGATATCACACTGTGGTTTTAATTTGCATTTCTCTGGTGATCAGTGATGTTGAGCATCTTTTCATATGTCTATTGGCCCTCTGTATGTCCTCTTTGGAGCAGTGTCTATTCAGGTCCTTTGCCCATTTTTTAATTGGATTGTGTGTGTTTTTGTGTTGAGTTTTATAAGTTCTTTATAAATTCTGGGTATTAACCCTCATCAGATGTGTCATTGGCAAATATGTTCTCCCATTCAGTGGGTTGTCTTTTCATTTTGTTGGTAGTTTCCTTTGCTGTGCAAAAGCTATTCAGTCTGAAGTAGTAGTCCCATTTGTTTGTTTGCTTGTTTGTTTGTTTGTTCCCTTGCCTGAGGAGATATAGCGGAAAAATACTGCTACAAGAAATGTCCTTGATTTTACTGCCTATATTTTCTTCTAGGATTTTTATGGTTTTGAGTCTAACATGGAAGTCTTTTATCCATTTGAGTTTATTCTTGTGTGTGATATAAGAAGGTGGTCTGGTTTTGTTGCAGGAGGAGTCAATGGGCCAGATCACACAGTGGGAGCGAGGTCCTTGGGGTGCCGCTGAAATAAGCACTTTCAGATGACCCCCTAGGAGAATGAGATGTGGTAGAGGGCTTTGTGTGCGTGGAGTTACGTTCCTCAGGTTGCAAAGGCCCCTGCTCCTTAAGCCAGTCCTGGGGCTCCGTTAGAGCCAAAAGCAAGGCCAGCGTCCAGAGTTTCCATCCCATGTTGCAGCCAGGTTAGCTCAGCATCCAAGCTAATTAAAGTCCCTGACTCCACTGTGTGGGGTCCCACATGGCCGTGAGCCATGTCGGCACAGGGGCGCTCACCCCCTGAGCAGGCGTCACAGGACCCCAGTGCGCCAGAGAGAGCACAAACCAAGAGAGTATGCTCCTCTGTTCAGCACAGTTTATGATAAAATACTCGGAGCACTGATTTAACCTGCACGTTTCATCTAGAACAGACACAGCCTCCTCTGTACGTGCAGTAAATTACTGGCCAAAGTCCTCCGGTCTCTAAAGTAAACTAGAGGCTTCAACAGAAACTTTATTGCTGTAAACACCTGTCTAATCTTGGAGAAACGAGATAGTGATTTTTTTTTTTTTTACAGTTGAATATTGTGTTCTGAGAGCTTAACTTTCACATGAGTGCTCCACAAACTCCCAGACCCAGACCCATAAAAGATTATATAAACGAGAAACATTAAATCAAGTAATTCCATATATAAAAGCACACCACAACTTTTCCCGCGACATGATCCATTGTGCTCACTGTTATTCCTTAAATTCACCGCTTCTATTACAGGGACACATGATATCCGTGGTTATAAGTTTCTTGGTAATATATTATTGGGACTTGTTTAAAATATTTTTAGATTTTTTTTTACAAGAATCTTCATCTCGTTATTTCTTTGTGACCTTCATGGCCAAATGAAAAAGTCCATGGAAACTGTAATGTGATCTTACCTTGCTTCCATTTTCTCTCGCCTCCCGGTCCATCTTGAGGTCAGAAATTAGCAGAGGCTTGTACTTGTTTTTCCCATCACTGCTGGGGTCGTCTAGTCTGTACTCCGAAGTGAGCTGTGCTGAGAGGGGGCTGTCGCTCAGGTTCAGTGGCTGCTGGTCCTGCTCCAGCCCAGTTTTGCCATCCTCATTGGAGTCGCCCATCTCCCTGCTTTGTGTTCCCCCTGAAGCAGTTGAACTTTGGCCCACAGTCTCATTGCCATTAAAGCTCTCTGCAGCGGAATCATCTGTTGGAAAGAAAACAGATGATTTTCTACTTCAACTAGCGTTCACTGGGCTCCTACTATGTGCTAAGTTTACATGCAATGTGTAATGTATCTTAAATAATAAGTCTGTACAGTTCCATTGTTACTTTTCATACAGTAGGCACATTGAAGCACAAGAATAAGTAAATAAAAATAAGAAAAAAGAAAAAATAGAGAAAACAGTTTAATTTCAAACAATCCCAAAAATGTAAATTTAAACGAAGAGAATAAGATAATTGTCAGTTATTTTGCAAATAGCTTTTGTTTTTCCAGTGAGAACATCCGTATTTGGTAAAAATGCTCTGATAAAAGCACTGCCTATCCTGCTAATGGGGAACATATTGATTCAAGCTTTGTGGGCATTTAATATGCATCTAAAGCATTAGAAAGGCTCAAAAATGCCGTTCCAGCCATTACACTTCTAGGATTTTAAGCGTAAGAAGTTTAATCACTGTGTGTACATCTGTGCAGGTAAGAAGACATTTATGCCAGTGTTGTTTGGCAAAAACTTGATATAAAGGAGACTTGCTTAAAACACAATGGAATGATTAGGATGTTATGGAATAATTCAACATTCTATTTTAAAGATATAGGAAAGTGGGAGTCAAAGTATTCCAGGGAAAAATCTAGCTACAAACAGCATGGTCAATGTAATTCCAATTTCGTAGAGCAAACACATAAACATGGATGGAAAAGACTGAAAAGACATAATCCTAAATGTTAGTATTGACTTCTTAACTATATGGCACCGGATTTTCTAATATTCTTTATTATCTATAACATATAATTTTCCAATAACAAAAATAACATAACTATAGAATAAAAGCAAAATAGGGAAGAAGTGGAGCAGCAGAGTTAAAACTTTTCTGGCTTTAAAATCTATAAATATAAACGCCTAAGCAACTGTTCGACCATCCAACCATTCGACCGGTAGCTATAATGCACACTGACCACCAGGGGGCAGATGCTCAACGCACAGGCATGGAAACATGGAATGACTGATGAATCTTAGAGGGAAGAGGGGAGGAGGGAGGGAGGGAAGAGATTAACCAAAGATCTTATATGCATACTAGAGGCCAGGTACACAGAATCATGCACTGGTGGGATCCCTCAGTCTGGCCTGAGGGGATTGGGCTGAAACCAGCAGTCTGACATCACCCGAGGAATCCCAGATTGCAAGAGGGCGCAGGCTAGGCCGAGGGACCCCACCAGTGCATGAATCCGTGTACCGGGCCTCTAGTAAATAAGCTTGTTTAGAAAAAGTATATTAATGATACTTTATTGAGACCAAGAAACAAGTTTACATAAAACAATCACCCTTCATTTCTCTTAATTTCATCTTTTTATATATAAGAATTTGCTATTAATTTTAAGGAATTATGAAGAACATGTATATTTAAATGTTTTCATTAGTTAAATGCTATTGATGAAACCATATAAATATGAGTAAGAGTAATAATATTCAATATTTTTTATTTTTGTTTGATTTCTGATTGATTTACTTATTTTTTAATTCTCACAAGAGCATAATTTTCCATTGGTTTTAGATAGAGTAGAAGGGAGGGAGGGAGGAAAAAAGGAGGAAGGGAGGAAGAGAGAGAGAGAGAAGAGAGAGAGAAAGAGAAAGAGAAAGAGAAAGAGAAAGAGAAAGAGAAAGAGAAAGAGAAAGAGAAAGAGAAAGAGAGAGAGAAAGAGAAAGAGAAAGAAACATGGATTGGTTGCCTCCCTCATGTGCCAGGACTGGGTCTGGGATCAAACCTGCAACCCAGGTACATACCCTTGACCAGGAATTGAACCCACAACCCTATGGTGTGTGGCCTGATGCTCTAACCACTGTGTAACACCAGCCAGGGTGATTTCTGAATATTTTTAAGTATGCGTCACTTTTGTGGAGTGCAATGAAATATTTAGTGCCTTCTCATCAATTCAATTCATGGAAATACTAAAGTCTAATCCTTTATTCACCTGTACTGAGTGCCCGCCCCCCTTGGCCTAAAAGGGGTTGAATATTTGGCCTCTAGAGATTCTGCCTTCAGCCAGTTTTCAATTACAAGGGGCACAAAAATAAATGTGCAACTAGAACTCATAGCAAAAAAGGGCTATGAGCCAAAGCAAGCTATGATCCAAAACATCACAGAACATTTCCCAACGATGCTGACATATGACTGAGCTCCAGCAGAGGCGTCGGCCTTCCCACCAGCGGAAGCAGTTGGAGGAGAGGGTCTCCCACCTAGAGATCGGCAGGTGCCTGTCACAGAGAAAAGCACACGCAGGGCTGAGCACAGAAGAGAAAGGAAAGAAAGAGAAACCAAGGCAGGGAGGAGGAGGAGGAGGAGGAGGAGGAGGAGGAGGAGGAGGAGGAGGAGGAGGAGGAGGAGGAGGAGGAGGAGGAGGAGGAGAAGAGGAGGAGGAGGAGGAGGGGATGGGGAGTGCTGTGTATCAGAGAGCTCGGCTGCAGCTTGAGAGTCAACGGAAGTGACTTTATGGTGGAAAATGATGCTTTAAAGAGATCACTCTGATTCTGATGAGAATGGGATGAAGGCAACAAAACGGAAGTTGGGGAGACCGGTTAAGAGATCTGTAAGTCACCCACGTCAGCACTGCTGCAGGGAAGCGGGACTAAAGCAGCAGCCGTGCAGAGAAGGAGGGACCGGAACAACCCTAAGGGAGAGACAGGGGGACGGACGGTGGGCGGACAAGGCCCAGGGGCAGCCAGGTCTCTAGCTCCAGGAAAACATGAAAACGAAGAGCACAGAGTTGAATTTCAGTAAAATGCTCTTTTAGGACAAGTATTCTAAAAGTATTCTGAGGAAAAGTTAAAATGTGTTCCAATATTCTTCTATTAAATTATTCTTTTTATATACCCACTCAAGAAAAGCCTTCATGTGGAGCGGAAACATACATAAGAGAATTTAGGAAAACTGGCCGTAAATAATGTGAAGTTGCACTTCCCATACTATTAGTTTGAGAAATCAAAAACATCCTTCTAATAATGACATAGCTAAGGTTTTTCCAATAATTGGGGAAATAGATATATACTTACACATAAGTAATTTGAAAAATTGTGCGTATTTTCTATGTTATGTCAAATCCTTAGGCTAAAGTAGGAAAGGTGATTTGGGGTTAAGTTATTCCTTTCCAAGGAAGTCCAGAGAAAAACGTAATGGACTTATACATGTCCCATTATTTAATTTATGAAGAAAAATGTGACTTAACATTTTGTACTAAAATCCTTCAAAAATTACTAAACATTCCATGTAAGAAATTTTATCAATATAGTAAAAGAATGAATAACCCTAAAGAAATATTACATTTTAAAATAAAATCTTCACATTAGCATGAAACAAATCCAATACCCATTGTAGTTAAAATTCAAACATGCTATATTATTTGTTCCTTTAATCGGAAATCATCATAAATATTTAGTAAATAGTGTACCAGTTATTCATTTTTCAGGGAAGGTAAACATTACTATTTATCAGGAAAGTCTTTAATAAAAGTCATGTATTTATAATTTTGGTACAAACAGTAAATGAATATAGGAGAAAATATTTTTAGACGAAGTAGTTCTCTCCAGATGTTACCAAGGTAACTAAATTCAACAGCCTTACATATTTCATTCCTGAGTAAATCAGTATTGTTTTTTATGATGAACAAATGAGTGATTTACTCATTTGCATCGAATATATATTCACATATTTTATAACCTAAATAGTAAAAGAATCAGTAACTGTCACATGCCACTATTTTAGAAATCAAAATTCAAAACAAAGTTTGTGTTGTCTACATTAGAGAAATTCAATATAACGGAGTGAGCAGACATTAAACTGAGGAAAAATGAAACGTTTTCTATTGTGTAGCTTTGGGTGACCACGTTAAAGGTTTTATTCTCTCTTAAAGAGACTTCTTCATAATCAAAACCCACAAATCCCAGACTCCTCTTTGTCATAACCAGTTCACATCAGTTTATGGCCTTCAAACGGGGACGTCTGTGTCCTTACCCATCCTGGGCGGCTGCTGGTGTGTGGACACCGGGCTGCTACACGGAGGGGTGGTCTTTACATCTGGAGGAAGGGCCTTGGGTTCACAGGCCCAGGGCGACGGCGCTTCTCCCCAAGGTTAGCCTGGGCACCGGGGCATTTGAACCACCGACTCTGTATTCGAGCCCCGAGGGGAAGGAGCCCCCGGAGCTCTGGATAATAAGATTGCCCAGGGTACCTAGCAACAGAGGAAAACGTGGAATCCAGTGACATCAGAAGGACAGTTGGATGTTGGGGTGGCATTTGGGCTGAGGTTCGTGTCGATGGGATGGACTTAGTATTGTGGGGCGGGCCGTCCGAGTGAGCTCAGCCGTGGCTCTTGTCTGTAAGTCACAGTCACACGGACCAGGCGGCAGGCCACTCATTGTTTGCTTTCTCCTTCCGTTCCCTACTCCCCTTTCCCTCCACCGATTAGAACACGTTAGAAATGTGACTGTTTAAGTCGGTGATGGCGAACCTTTTGAGCTCGGCGTGTCAGCATTTTGAAAAACCCTAACTTAACTCTGGTGCCGTGTTACATATAGACATTTTTTGATCTTTGCAACCATAGTAAAACAAAGGTTTATATTTTTGATATTTATTTTATATATTTAAATGCCATTTAACAAAGAAAAATCAACCAAAAAAATGAGTTTGCGTGTCACCTCTGACACGCGTGTCATAGGTTCGCCATCACTGGTGTAAGTAGATGGTTTCATCAGCACCAGACTCAAAGGTCAGCTCTTGCTATTTAAAAGAGAATTAACCTATAGCCTATGTCTGATATGTATTTATATGTATATCTGTATGTAGATGCATGTATGCATGTACCTACCTACCTACTAATATGTGCTAAATGTGTGTGAGACCCCCCAGGCTCCTGACCTACTTTCTTATTCCGCTGCGTTCAGTCCGCTGCGTTCAGTCGGTCTTTATTATGGCCGTTAGGCCAAGTGCCTTGGG